GCTGGCTGCGGGCGGAGGGCGCCGCCGCCCCGGCCGAGGAACGGCAGCTGGGCCCGGCCTGGCGGCTGCTGCGACGCGCCGAGGCCCGGCTCGGCGACCTGGAGCGGCAACGGGCCGAGGAGATGAGAGACGTAAGGGCCGGGAGAAGGGGCCGGAGTTACCCCTTCGGTGTTTAACCCCTCCGGGTCCAAACGTGCCCGCTGCCCCCGCGGTTCGCAGCAGCAGCATCACGGGTGTCACCACCAAAAGCCACTTCCCCTCGAGAACTCGGGGGTACAGGGCCCGGTTCCTCACGTTGGGGCACTGAAAAGCACCCGGCGAGCCCAGCGTCTCCCAGAGAGCTGGGGTTGAGAGTCCTCTGCCTTCCACACCTTTCAGTCAAGTTTTTAACATCCCCAGGTGTTACAAAGGCATAAAGAAGTAGCATCCTACAAATGGTTGGTGTTATCCTCTAAATAGAGGGGGATGGAGAGCTGTTTGCACCAACTGCCTGCTGGTGAGACGTTGGTAAACACTCAGCTATAGTGATATTTCCTTTATTTCTAGGTGGAAAGTTATGTGGGTCACGTCCGTAACCTGATGGAGGAACGGGATGCCATCACCACCGAATATGAAAAAGAAAACGAACAGCTCAGGCTTGAGCTGATGCAGCTGCAGCTGCAGCAGGGTAATCCTTTCCCTCTGAAACAGGGGCCAAGGAGATGTGTTGGCAGGTACTGGGGTACAGGTGGCAAAGCTGGTTTAAAACTTGGAGGGCAGAGCAGCATTTCTCAGTGAGTTCTGCTAAAGCAGCTCGTGTGGTGTGTTTGGGAGGTTGGCACAAGTGTTAATGAAATATTAGAACTGATTTGCAATTGACTTAAAGGTTTTTGTCTGCTTTTACTATCTTTATTCAGTGAATTGAACAGTTTCTCACTTTGTGTGGCTCTGTTGTTGCACTAAGCATCTTCCAGAGGCTGTTTGAAGAACAGAATTAATGATGCTGTTTGTTTTCCAATTCTAAATTATTTGACGACTTCTCATGTCGCAGAGTGGTGAGCTGTGTTCCCACTGAAGTCGGTGAATTTGACATTGGATTTGGTTTAGACAAAGTCCGTGTGTTTTTAAAAACAGTTTTGAAGCACAGTGGTATGTTTGTGATGGTGATTCAAAACTTGTCCTGTGTGCTTATTTTAGTACAGGTGTTTTGCTAAAACAAATTGTTTCAGTTGTATTTCACTTCACAAAATTTGCCGCCTTCTCAAACCCTGGGTCACCTCCAGTAAGGGCAAATAGGTTTTGCTGGGTTTAGTTCTTGATTTTCTTCAGTTTTCATAGTCTTCCGTTATGCTTATGTGCTGCTAACAGCACACTGCGCATTACCCTGGGCCTGAGGTAAAACTGGGGGTGATAGCACAGCTTGAAGCGTTTCTTTGTTATGCACGCTTTATTTGGGGCAGCAGCTATTAGGCGTTTTGGGAAACTGATTGCAGTTTTGAGTCTGTTCAGTTTTGGCCAGCTGCTGGGTTTCAGAGAGGGTCTGATGGAGAGACTTTGCAAAGATGCGTGTGCTTAAGCACTGCCTGAAAAGTTGGTTGCTTCTGGGCGCGTAAAGCCATCATTTAGTGTTGAAAATGCTGGTGTGCAAGGATTTAAAATGATTAATGAGCCTTTGGGAGTTTTGCTGTGGCAGATAATGTTCTTACTGGTTCTTCTCCCATCTTGCCCACGAGGTGGCAGGCGAATGACAAAAACGTCCCAAAAGCTGGCTTTGCATTTATTTCCTCTAGAGGCTCTGCTCCTTTGGACTTTTTTTTTTTTCCCTAAAGTATTCTTGTGGCTGTTGGGCAAGGATTAACACTCGAATGGAAAGAGATCCCTTGCCCTGGTGGGTTGCTAATTTGGAGCAAGCTGTCCCTGAGGAGGTTTGTGGTTCTGCGGTGCTTTGGTCCCAAACAGTGCTTCTGTGAAGCTTTCTGGGGGGTTGTTTTGGGGTATTGCTGTCAGACTTTGTTTTTTAAGACTTGTTATTACCTTACTGACGGTGTTAGCTGCGGTCCTGCGATACACATTGATAATTTAGTGATCTGGACAGCGGATGAAGCCCTGCCTTCCACCAGGCTGTCCTTTACAGGAGGGATGCCAGCTCTGATGTGTTCCGGGATGCTTGTTGATCTTTTTCTTGAGGTTTTTTGCTTTGCAGGGCATCCTTTTCATGGAAGAACCACTGGCCGTCTCTGGCCTGCTCTAGGTCTCTAATGTACCTCTGCTGCAGGGTTTGATGCCACATTGCTGTGCTTATTCCCTGGGCCTCTGCTTTTCATCAGAGTTGTGCAAACCAACCCAGAAATTCCCCCTGAGCTCTGTGGAGTGTAGAACAGGCTGAAGGTCTTCAAGTAGGTCCCACTCCCCCTCTTATTTTTGTGGGGCAGCTGGCTGTCTTTAGTAGGCACAAGATGAGCAGATGAGGCTGGAAACGAGGCTGGAGAAGGGTCTTGTGGAAAGGCAGACCCAGGTTTACTGGGATTGTTAAACAAAAATGTGGGCAAGGCAAGAACAGGGTGGTGGTAGGGGAGCTTTTGGGAGGCTCAAAATGATAATCAGTTCAGATGGGAAAGGGCAGTTGAGGACAGAGGCTGGTTCAAGCCTGTGAGTACAAAGGAGGGGCCTGACCTGCGAATGGCGAGGTGTGAGTGAACAGGATCTGTGCTGATCTTGGTGGGAGTCCCAGATTGGGAAGGGAAGGGGCAAAGACTCGAGTAAATGCAGGAGATCACTCGAGTGGGCTCTGGGGGCTGAGCATACTCCCCCTTCCAAAAGCAGTCCCACAGATCAGAAGCTACTTGCTCTGAGGATTGCTGGGAGCAATCTGATCTACTAAAAGCTACTTTTGATGATAAAAAGTAAGTTTCTACTTACACATTTACTTCTTGTCTGGAATGGGCTCGAAGTGTTACTGCAGAGAGCAGCCACTGCTGGTTTTATGTTGAGCTATCGATCTGAGCTTTACCTCATTTGGTACCACTGCCCAGAGTGAATTTTTCCCTTTC